TACGCACACATGTTTAGTTATAATTTCTGCAAGCCTGATAGCATATGATCCTTTAGAGTTAAGGAAGCTACACATCTTCCTTTTAGATACTGATGGCCTAAGAGGTAACACTATTCACTGTAATTGGGCACTGGTCTCAATAGAAAAAGGGTCATGTTTCATACTCAATCATGAATTTATCATGAAACCTTTTTATAAGTCAGCCCCAGTAAAAAAAAAGCCACAGTCCTATATTTTAGGACACATAAGAGATTTCCAGCCATGACAGCATTAAAAATTCCCAAGTCCAATAAACTGAAAGATTTACCGTTTATGTAGTTGAAATATTTTATACTAGAATTTTTTTTTTTCAACATGTTCACGTGTTGAAATCCTCATAGTAATTAATATTGCTGAAATTATCACTAACATTTTTTTTGCCAAGATTTACTAACTTTACATTTCATTCAATTTCACATTCATGAACTCTGAAATTTGAATAAACTGATTTGTTTGGAAAGGTACTTTGACAAAAACCCTACTTCATGGTTTAATAATTTAATTTTATAAGACTTCATGGTTAACAATTTTTTAAGATAAATTTTTTTTTTTTAATTCCTTTTTAACAGTGAAGAGTAAATTCCAATGATTTCTTACTCTTGAGCATGCAACATGCATGCATAAATGTGTCTTTCTGGAGCCAAATACCAAATTTTTGAAGTGTTGGCCTGGGCATTGTGTTTGTAGTTCCTGCAAATGCTGAGCAAACTAGATTTTTGCATATACAAAAATCTTGAACAGATATTCAAAAAGCAATATTTCATTTTTAAGTATTTGTTATTTTAATGATTAAATGGTTTTTATAATAGTGGGAGTAATTTATATGTTAAATAACAACACTTAATTTTTTTTGAAGAAAAAAAAAAAAAAAAAATGAATTTCTTGTACTAAGCTATGCACCCTAGTAAAACCAAATATACTTTGTAGCTCATTACCAGTTTGCACTTCTTCCCAAAATTTGGTTTTGATCGGTCAATATATGGCTATTTTAGTGTATGACGGACAGACAAACTAATGGAAGTCACAGAATTTTATTTTACATATATACATACATATATGATGTGTGTATTTCTGAGATGGGGTATTGTAATTATTTACACTATTTACATTGTTCAGACTGTTGTCCTCATCTTTGTTGCCATATTCACAACCTCAAGGACATATGACCCAGTGGATAAAAGAATTGGTTGAATCCAGTGACTTGACCCAAAGAGCTGAGAGTTCAATATCTGGCTACAGCTGTGGTGAATAAAAAAACGTGGAGAGTTGTATTAAAGGGAGATAACTGATACCGAGACATCCAGACGTGGCATGGCACGTGGAACTAGAACAATCTACCCTGGTGGACAAAAAGGGTTCAATTTGAAATTCAAATCACACGAAGGCCAGATACAATGAACAAAATGTGACTATGTCAACAGAGATAATGACAATAGTTCAAACAATGTAAATAATTCCAATAAAGTTTTTATTCAAGTTGGGTGGAGAGAGAGAGAAAAAAAACAAAAATTAAACAAATTCAGATTCAGGGAGCGGAGTCACCTACAGTGGTAGGAGAAACTTTTTGTACAGAAAAAATGAAGTCAGTGATAAAAGTTTAAAACATATTTAAAATTCAATGGCTTGGGAGTGAAAGATTTTTTTTTTTATCTAGGTTGTTTTTTTTTGTCTAATGATAGTATAAACATTTTTATAAGAAAGGTGAAAATAATTATATATAATATGATACACTAAGCTTGTTTATATAAAATAATATTAAGTAAATAAATGATTAAAAAAGTGTAGATTAAAAATAGTCCAGTTGTGTTGTTCACTTAATTTTAAGAAGAGTTAAGAAAAAAAAAATTAAAAGCCAAACTGTTAATAAAAAATACAAATGATGCGAGACATTTGTTTGTTACATTTTCTAAAAAATAGAACGGCTTGATATGAACCTGCTGAAAATAATTCAGTCAAGGTAGATGACTTGTAACATTTACAAATTTGAAAAAAAAAAAAAAATATACACCTTTGTATTTTTTGACCAATCACGAAGATGGCTCCCACCCACGTAAATTTAAGTTGATATCGATCTGTACCCTATTTCTAGGCTATATAAGAAGACAATTTAGCAGAAAATTTTAGGCATAACAATTTTGAAGAAATTTGAAGGTAACAAAGTTTCTGATGATACAAAAGACAAAATTTCTGAAGGAAAAGGTGTAAAAATTTCAACGAAATCAGAAGACCAGAAGGTATAAAAATTTCAACCAAAAGGAAAAGTTATTTTGCCTGTCACCAGTGAATATGCTGGGTTGTTTCAGAAGGAAGAAGCAAACAAAAAAAAAAAAAAAAAAAAAACAGAACAAAAATGAAACCAGAGAAGTGAACTGAACTGTGTTCTAGAAAAAAAAAAAAAAAAACATTGTTAAAAGTACCAATGGTACTGGTAAACCCTAACAAAGCTTACCCCTTTTCTTTCATCTTTCAATTAAGTGAATCTTTTTTGAAAGAATGTGGTTTTAGACCCTTTTTAAAAAAAAAAAAAAAAAAAAAAAAATGTACCTTCAAGGTTTCTTTGATCATTGAAAGTTTAAATTCTACTTCTACGTCATCAATCTTTGCAACTGTCCTTTTGGTAATTCAAATCACATTGTAGTATCTGTTTATATTTCATTTCAGTCATCTATTAGACAGGAACCACCTATTCACAAGATCTCCTTTTGGTACCAGCATGCTGACCGAGTTTCACTTTGCCACTTTCTTAAGACACCCTTTGGATTGAAATTCTTAACTTTCCTATTGAAAACTCTCAGGTTTCTGCTTGGCTCAAAGCCAGCATCTGTTTTTGTACTTTCTTGGAAATACCAGGTAAACTCAAAATCATCTTCATGGTTTACACTAACCTGTTCAGCCACTATAGCCCACTGAAATCACTTTTTCCAGCTATACCAGCACGACAGTTCCAATCACAACTAACGCCTATTCATGGTTGCATATAATAAATGTAAATGTGTCCTAAAAGGGGCTAAGTCTTTGCTGATAGAAGCCATACGGTGATTCATTCTAGCAATGTGACTACTGGAGCCTCTGTAATAATTTATTAAATAGTTGTAAGTTTTCTATTCCTCCTCTCTTCACTCAATTAGAGGTGTTAAATATGCCCCACCACTTGACTTCACACATCCCAATTGGTACAAGAGGTTAGAAAAAAAAATATTTTAAATTCAAGTTTCTGGTTGATTTTGAAAATTTTGTTTTATTTTTATTAAAAAAAGTAACAATGAATCTACTTATATACTGCACCTCCCCATCACATATACACAAGAAAGTTAACAAAATGTATTTGGAAAAGAATAAAAATACTCCAGACTCATCCATACTTTTTGGTAACCTACCCCAACTCATTAAACAATTAAGTAAAAACAAATTGCTTCAAATATTTTTAGCTAAAATACGTCACTGTAATCCAAGAAAGTAATTAACTGGAGCTGAAAACTATAGACGAGGTTTTAATTCACTACTTTAGTTTTTCTTTCAAATTGTAATTGTTCAAATTCAACAAGACTGAAAAAAATCTGGCAGAAATTCAAACATCAAAATCCAACAGAATTTATGACTGAAGCCAAGGATTTATCATCAAGAATTAAAATTTAAATCTTGGTTGATAATGCAGGTGAACCAAAAATCTTATATGAAAGTATTGTCAATTATGGGAGGAAAAAAAAAAGTCTGCCACACACTATGCCAAATATTCAGGCCAGTAGATGTAAATAAATAGAACATCTACCAAAATAATGTTTAAAATAATAAAATCTTCATAAATAAAAAAATCCATTACCTCTTTAGAAATTATATATGTATTTTATAAAATGGACTAAGTGACAAGTACTTTAATATATCTTCTGTTTATACTTTATTTTTATAAATACAAAATATTTAAGTAGATGCTCTGTTGATAATAAACAGTATTAACAACATTTACTGGCCTGAATATTAGAAATTTCATAGAAAATATGTTTATATCACAATTTCTAAAAATTTCTATAACATTAAAAGTTTTGTTTCCGAGATTAAGCATTTTCATGTTTTTTTTTTTTTTTACTGTTTTAGGCAGACATGATCTGCTTTCATTTTAGCATGCTTTTGAACAAATAACTTAAAAGAAATACAACTATGACAGTCTCGAGATCAACAGAATAATGAAGCAAGAACATCCAAAGTCACTTTTTTTTTTATTCTGGATTTCTGCAATTCAAAGTCAATATTTATATCAGCCATAAAAGGAATAAATCCTTGAAAGATCTTAAAAAAAAAAAAAAAAAAAAAAAAAAAAAAGTAAGTGAATTTATGCATTATCCCAGTGGAAATGAAATGATGAACTTTTGGTTCTTACTGAAGTTTGGATATTGTACCAATTTGTGTAAAGATGAGTAGAGAAAACAAAAATAGTTTCATTTTCTCAGCATGTTCTTGCAGATGTCAAAGAATAATCCTGACCATCACTTTTAGCTGAATAGGGAGGTATTGCTTGAAAAACTGACCTCCAGAAATTAGTCTTACAAAGGATTCCCTGTTCTCAAATGGGAAGAGACTTAGCAAAAATGCAAAGGTAATGCAGGGAAAGAAAAAAAAATGATTTTTCTAATTTGTTACTTTATTCTGATCCATTCATTGTTTTTTTTTTTTTGTCAAAAGATCCATGCAATACAAATTATATTCACCTGATGTCTTAGATACACAGGCCCCAAAAACACACCTCAATTTGCAAAACTTGCAATATGAATTAAGTAAAATAGAAAGTAATGTGGAGATTGCAGCACAAGTTTTCAAGAACTATTTTAGGGAAAAATAAATGTCTTCTTCAAAGATCAGGAATTAAAACCTTTTCATAAATAGGTCAATGCAGTTAAAAAAAAACAAAAAAAAAAAACAGAACTTGTGAAGTAACCTCAAATTAAAAAATTCAAATAGCTTCTTACCAACTTGGCTACGCAGACTACAGGAACGAAGGTCCAACCTCTTGAGGTTTTTGCACTGGTTCAGGACTTTGATAAGTTCCAATTCAGAATGGCTGCCCTCAATTTGGTTGCTACCCAAGTACAGCTCCTCAATCTGACCTTTGCCTGTAATGAAAAAAAAAAAAAAAATTTACTTATGGTTGGCAATGTTCATCTATTAAGAAAAAAAAAAAAAAAAATCATATTTGTGATCTTTGCTTGTGGAAGGTTTCAGTGGGTCTACGCCCCAACCATCACTGTATCAAGGCTGTATCTAACAGACAAAACTTTCAATAGAAATGCTTTACTTCAATCAGAATGTTATTTCAATTTTTTTTTTTTTTTTAACCAGATGGTATGATTTTTTTTACATGAATTTTAAACTGTATGCCATACTATCTATAGGTGTGTTTGTAGCAACCAACTTCTGGAGATGGCAAAGATCACTTCAAGTGGTGGCCTGCTGGTGATACGGAGATGCAACACAATGGGTCAGTATGAAAAAAAAAAAAAAAAAAAAAAATCTATTTAATAGGCCATGTTAAAAGCAACAAGGTCAGAGAGAGAGAGAGAGAGAGAGAGAGAGAGAATGAACTTACGAGCTATGGCTGCCAGCAGCTGGCCCATCCACGCATGAAGGTAGCTGCACTTAAGGTTCAACTTGATGAGGGCATTGTCAAATTCAATTATGCGCAGCAAACCAGACACCCCAAACAAATCAAATATGTTATCCCGCAAAATGAGGTTCTTGACACCATAGAGAGGTTCTGAAAGAAAATAAAATAATTAGTGTATGTATAATATACACACACAATTTTCATGTCATATATTATATATGTATATCTCAATCACACATAGGCACCACACACTCTCGTAGGCCGAGACGTCACTTCTCAAAACTTGGCACAATTTGTAAACAGCAAAATACAACTATCAACAGAAGACATTAGTAGATAATACAAAAATAAATGTATATCACTCATGGCAAAGGAAGATGCCTAGACCTCACTCTTCAGCCTTGATAGAGTCCAAAAGAGTCTCCAAGCCCTTGTGGGTGACACATTATTCTCTACTCTCCAACCTCTCTTACAATGGTTCCACCAATTCAAACCTTCATGGCAAGGACATGCCATGCCATTTACACAATAGCAAACCACCCACATTCCCTCCATATTACATTGCTGGGTTCCACTTGGACAGCTTCCTGCAAAGCATTGCTCTATAGAACTGACTCCCAAGAGGATGTTTCCCCGCCAATCACTATAATCTTAACCTGTTCAAGGCTAGGGTTAACTGCTATCTTTCACTCCTATCTCCACAAATTGCCTTCTACAAGGTTGTACTTTACTGTGGAAAATTTTTTTTTTCTTTTTACTACACACCAAAAAAAAGAACCTACATTAAATAAAATCTTTCATAACAGAAAATGGCATATTGAAATGTGTATAAAATAATATACATACAAAATATTCAAATATTTCATATACATTTTCCAATATCATCTAGCTCTATTTAACCATTACACGTGACATTACCTTGAATTGTAAAAGTTTAGCAGATATTAAATTTTACTAATACTTGAAGAAATCAATGAGATTTTTGCATAGAAAAAAAAAAAAAGTTAAAATGTAAATAAGAGTTATTTTCACTTACATATGTACAAGTCTCATTGACTTTTTAACCCCCACCAGATTTAAATTTTATTAACTTATAACTTTTCAAATTAACCACAGTTTTTATAAGTAGCAGGGTTGCGAGTAACAATTTTCCCAGCTGTTTTAATGTTTGAGAAAAACAAGTAAAAATAAATTCATTAATTAAATTAAATTTCCAACCGGTTTTCACTCTCCCTTCAAAAATTCATATTTAATATTCCAGCATTATTGAATTAGGCTAATTAAATTTACTGGTACTGATTAAACAATATACTAAATACTTCAGACTCAGGCGATATTTCAGTTTCTGTTGCATTTTATTACAATTCTCAAACTGGCAGGCACAGTGCTCTATGGCTTAATTATAAAATCTACTGTCACATTAAGACAGGCTTTGTTTCTCTTAAGGTACCAATAATTTTTTTTTTTAAATTTAATGATATTCAGTATTTTCATTAAGTACCATTTGAGGTGAATGGTATTTGACTAAAATGAAAGTTTTAGTAATCTATATTCTTGAAATTTAAAAAGAGAAAATAAATTTGATATTCAAGGGAATCAACTCAGTTTCTCTCGTGAGTTATCGCCCTTGAAAGCCAACTATTTTCTACGGGTTAGTTTACAAAGCCCACAAATAATTTAAAAAAAAAAAAAAAAAAAAATTTGTTTTAACTATTTTCAACGAAATATTAAAAAAATAAATTAATGAAGCGGAAAGTTACTTATTGCTTCGTGGTAAAATACTTTAGCTTTCTATTGGGGGTCTGTTTGTGTGCGTGTATATATAAAATAAATAAATCAAATAATTAGATATTAGCAAATGTATATACATACATAAACATCCATACACAGGTAATCAAATAAATGCTTACTCAATTTAATCTAAGGTGTAAACAAATTCCCTGAAGCATTTATTTTAGTTCTAGTTTCAAGATAATAGATTAAATTTAATATTTCCAATATTTTCTGTATGTCAAAACTAGTTTAAATTGACTGGAAGGAATTTTTTGTTTTGAAATTGCTAAAGATTTTTGCTTTTAGTGCCTTTTTAGCCATCTGTCATTAAAATGTAATTCTCTTTATTAAAAGATTTTTCAAAAATAAAATATACTTTCCTGAAACTATTTGAAGCATATTAGCTGATTTTAAGTTTAATTAATCAGATTTCAAACAAATATTACTTTAAGTTTGAAATATCACAGAAATTATTTTCTTTTAACACAGTAGGTGTTTGAGGTGAATGGTATTTGACTAAAATGAAAGTTTTAGTAATCTATGTTCTTGAAATTTAAAAAGAGAAATCTGTTGACAGACTGACAGACAAAAATTTATCTAATTTTTTTTTCTTTGGTGGATATATCTGTAAAAATTGAGGAATATAACATGTACGTCTTTTTTATATCATTTTTAACTACCCAGTAATCTTAAAAATTGAGAAAAATATTCTCTAATCTAATACTTTACAGAATTTTAGATATATTGGCTTTAAATTTACTATAGTTATCACTCTTATTTTCTAATGTTGTATATGGCTGTCTATATTTACAAAAATCAGCATTTTTATACACACAAAAACAAAAAAATCTTTATAAAATATTTGATGCGGGGGGTGAAAAGTAGCAAGTTTTTCTATTTAAGATTAGTAAATATAGTTTTTACTTAATATCACCTAACTGGAACAAATTAATATATAAATTTAAAAGATTTAAAACTTTATAAATTATTCTAATTTAAAAAAAAAATACGTTTTTTTCTTAAGATAATAGTGGTCATAATATCTTATAAAAGCAATTAAAAGCATTTCTAACTAATTAATGTCTTAGTTGTATTACATTTTTTATATTAAGATTCAGAGCACATTTTCAGTAACTGGATGTCCTGTTTTACAAAAATGTTTGATGTATAAATACAAACAATAAGTTCATAAAATTAAGTGGAGGTTAACTGATGTAGAAAAATATTTTTTACCAAGATTTTCTAAAACAAACAAAAAAAATTCTAAAATAATGTCATTCATTTGTGAATAAGTCCCGAGAGTTTCATTAAAATCTGACAATTTAATCATTGTAAGAATTTCCGATGTCAAGAAAAAAAAAAAAAAAAAAAAAAAAAAAAAAAAAAAAAAAGATAAATTTTCTATACTAATCTTTTAGGGATTAAATTCTTTGTCCAAGATTTTGCATAGCTGTCCCTCCACCACCACCACCCCCAAAAAAAAGAAAGAAAGAAAGAAATCCTGCTTACCAGCTGGAGGCAAAGTTGCTGAACAAGTGATGCTGGGATCAGCAAAACTCTGGATATTCAATAGATTTAATCCATTCTTTTCACCATCATCTCTACGAAAATTAAAGATTTCATAACCATTCAGCAACAGACATCTGATCATTTTGTTTTTTTTGGTTATATATTTCTATCATTCCATCAATATGAAAATAAACTTCAAAGTAAAAATACATTGCAATGTAGTTGCAAAATTCTAGACAGATAATAGAATGAACAGGTTTGTTTTTTTTTTTATTGAAATATTTCACATTAGGTTTCAAATATTAATCCAGAAACTTTGATTAAAAAAAACAGAGAACGAGGCACAATTTTTTATTCAGGTGGAGGCATTTCAAAGTGGGACACCAAAAATTTTGGCCATTATACATATCTTATCAAAATACTTCTAAGACAGAATCTTCATTCAAAGACAGTCATCAAATTTATTGGGCTGGCAGCCAATACAGTGAGATCATCTCAGAGTGATAGGGTGCTAACAGGATGGCCAACAGATTCAGAGGTTCGTCCTTTGCTGAACAAATGTTACCGCCTCATTCCCAAAAAATTCATCCTTGATGAGCAAACACTAAACTTCATCCCCAGAGGTCCTGGCCTAGCCAAGAGGTCAGAGAGATGTCATCAGATGATCTCATTGGATCCAGAATAAGCACACACAGAGTAAGGATTTTTGGTAGTAAAGGGTGATCCAATAACTGATGGCCGATTTTAAACTTAATTCACATTTAAAAACAGTCCAAGTTATTGGAACACCCTATATTTGTAATGCTGGACAACAATGACCAAATTGAATGCAACCTGTTAGTGTTCTAGCAGCAAATCTTGTGATTATGTTAGATAAATAGTTTTTCCAAATGACCCCGTTAAACGTTTGCCTATTTCCATGAGGTAGTATTCTGTTTTCAGTTCAATGCCTTCTTATGAAGAAAGATTTTGTTCTCTTGCTAGAAAAATGGAACCGAGATCAGGATGAATGAAGATCACAAAAAAATTAAGGAAAAGATTAGGAAAAACTCATTCTGCTTTTTAGAATTAGGATATATCAGAGTGCGACTGGAGAAATCAGAATCTTAAATATTTGTCTACAATAATCAATAAAAATCTGTATCAAGAGCAGAATGGAAGAAAGCTTTTGAAATTATATTTAGCTGATCAAATGGTTTCAATGTAGCCTCCAGGTTGAAAGAAGACTGGTTTAAGTTTGAAATAAGCCTGACAGTAAAGATTACGTCTTCCACAGAGCATAGGATATTGTATCAACTTACAAAATGAAAACCTTGTGACCCCAGGAGGAAAAAGATGGATGGAATTCTGTAAACAATTTTACTTGAAATTAAACCACAAACATTTGAACATGTGTGCTCTTGGCATGGAGTGATTAATATAAGTGAAGCAAGATAGCTCAATACAGTAACACATTACCTTCCCAATCCTGATTTTGTTTTTCCTTTGTTTTTTTTTTGTGAACTCTTCTGGTTTCTTCCTTCCCAGTCAATTTTGTTCTTCAAAAATTTAAATGCAATGTCATCTTGTTATCTCACATCTTTTATTATCCTCTCTTAATAGTAGTTTTCCTCATATTCTCTAACACTCGGTAACCCCTTGCATCCTAGTGGCTTTATTGCCTTGCTTATGGTGAAATGAGAAAATTAAATCCAATAAATTTCTACTCTAGCCAGTAGAATAATATGAACCATACTCATTAGCACTGACACAGTAACCATTAGAATAATAGACCTACTCATAATGCACAATTGACCAGCATATATAGACAAGTCCAAACAACACACACAGCCTGAAGATTGCATTTAAGCATGAAAGAGTTGCTGCTGGGTGTTGACTTCAATGTTAACTTCAATTGTGCACACACATTTTTATTATATATATATATATATATATATATTTACACACACACACACACACAGCTGTTTAATAAATGAGGAAGGAGGGAAATTTCCGGTTTCTTTTTGAGGAATTTTTATGGCCTCCCTGTACTTAAGATTTCCCTGTTTATTAATTTCACAACTGTTGACCATTTAAATGATTTTCTGAATTACAAATTCATCCACCCCAGACACACACACAATTTATTGCATATTGAGCCAAATTACAAATCTTCCTATTGTATGAGAAACCTAAATCCCTTGACAAGATTGTCTAGCAGGAATATTTTTCTTTCAAATAATCTTGTGCCAGACTCAGCAAAGTAAATATAAGTATTTACAAAGCTTAGGGGTGGGGAGATGAATGTGAAGCTTGAATTGCACTGAGCATTCCACAGGGAACAACTACCTTGTCTTGAAAAGATTGTGGGGGAAATATGTCCCTAATTGAACCAATGCTGTGTGTCAAAACATCTTCATAATACTTAATCCTCATAAACATCTTTGGAAGTTCTACTTTCAGAAAGAATTCTGCCAATTTTTATGACAACATTGAGACATTTAAGTCAACGGAACAATTACCAACCTGTAACTATTGTGCAGACATTGTAATGCTCTACGGAAAACGCCATCTTCAGTTTCACAACCAATGATGCTGAGATCTTTCAGTTGCTTTTTATCAAGCAAATCACCAATTACATCCAATAATTTGGGATTATTTAAGCCTGGAAGAAAGAAAAAAAAGTTCATAATTATTCATTTGTCCTAATTTTAAACATTACATAAGAGTAACAAGAGTTTGTCACATTCTAAATTAGAAGTTATTTCCACATAAGCACATAAATTTAAATAATTGATGTCTAATGTCTCCAAAATGGTATGGTGTACATTTATGGTTTAAATAAGGGAAATAATGCCAAACAAAAATTGTAATGAGTCATTTGACAAGAAAAATAAGTTGTTTTGTTAATGGTTCAAAGTTTATTCCTATTATTAGGATATATGAAGGCCTCAAAGGATACCAAAATAAGTTATATTTAGTCAGGTTTTAATAAGTGAATTGGGCTGAGAACTTTTCAGCACATTGTTACAATGAACAGAATTCATTCAATTCTTAGCTGCAAAATCATTTACTATTTTTCAAACATTGATAACTTACAAATATTATCTGGGGTTACATTCATGTCTAGTCAGGAAAAAAAAAAAAAAAAAAAAAAAAAAAAAAATAAAATAAAACAAAATATGTACTCGGAAGTTTTATGGAAATTTTTTTCTCACAAAATATGAAGATACATTTTTTAAAAAGGTGTTCCAAGAGGAATGCAGTGACATATGCGCTGATGCCATGTCCAAACTTAATGAAGTGATTAGAATTTAAAAATGACAAAAGTGAGGTTACGCTGTAGGCCCGTTTTCTAACCTTCTTTAGGTGCACAATCTATATGAAAATGTGAAGAAAGTCTCCCCACCCCACACTTTCCAGGTAAACAAGTCATTGTAAGAGGAACAGAGAGCAATAGAAAAATTTTTTTACATTTACAGTAGACACTACCTAAAGAAAAGTGTTCCTCATTTTTCCAGAATATTCTACAGTTGAGGAAGGCAGGAGAATAAATTGAAGAAACATGATAATAAAGATAATGAAAAGAATTAATTGGTTTTGTATTGTTTTACAGCAAATCAACCTCAATGGCTAAACAATGTCAACAACTTTTTTTTTCCTGGCAATATTTTTGTTTTGTCAAAAATCTATTTCTGGAAATATTTTTTTCCTCAAAATTATATAGCTGGTTATATTATTTTCAAAAAACGTATTGCTGGCAACAGTTTTTTTTTCCTTCAAAAATTTATTTCTAGTAATAATTTTTTACAAAGTATTTCTGATATTAAAACGTATTTTTACACTTTCAAAATGCTTTTTACCTCAGTTTCAGAGTTAACTATTTTCCCATAGCTGGGACCCTAACAGGTGCTACCACCCTGGGTCAGGGCGGACCTGGGAACACCAGCAATTAAGAGGTGATTCCACGCTCCTCAAAACCTCCTGATCAGAGGCCTTGCTGTTAGATGTAGTTTATCGTCTTACCCTGGACGCGGATGTAGTTTATCATCATACCCAGGACGGGAAAAGAATGGAGTCTTCAGTATGTAGGATACACTTGAAAAAGGTTAGGGAATGTATCAGACGAAATACTCTTGTGGGGAGGAGGAAAAAAAAGAAAATCAAGATTTGCGGGGAGTCAAAGTTCTCAGGAAAATTTTATGGGTAATTTTGAAATATTTTAAAAACTATAAAATTTGTAGACTAAAGAAAAATGATCACATTCTCATTCTCTCTCATTGGGTTTTTAATAAGGAAAGGTTGTGACTAAGAAAGGAGTTATCTCCCTTACACGTCATATTGCAGCTTTATTTTTAAAGGCTGAAAAATCGCGTCAACATACATTTCACGAGTAAAAAAAATTAACATTTTTTTTTTTTTGCAATTGTCGATATATATTAATCTTGGTTGTTATAGCAACAACAACAACTACCCCCATGAGAGTCCTTTAGTTCAAATAAATGAACAGATTAAAAGATTCGTGGACAAAATTAAAATAATTAGCTACTACAGTTTTGGATAAGGCATACTGAAAAATGGTGAATGTGTAATTGGTATGTAAATCAAATATTCAGATAAATACGGAATAAATTTCTCAATATTCTGCTATTATTTGGGGTGGAAGGAAATAAAACATTTTCTAATCTAAAAAATTTTTATATTCATGAACTATTTAAAAACATTATCAAAAATGCTTTATAAATGAAGGAAATTAAAATAAATAAAAAGTTTACTTCTAAAATAAAAATAAACAGATCCATGTTTAAAAACAAAATTACATTCAAGGTACGATACTCTACACTGAAAATTTAAGAGTTACTTCCCTTACATAAACCTTCATTTTTAATTTTCAAGAGTACGATGACTTTATCTGTACGCCAATGTTGTACAGATGTAATACAAAGTCGAATTTAGAGTTTAAGTATACAACGAAGAAAAATTACCCAAGCCCCCACTCGGCTTTTACTTCATTAGGGGGACACCTCGGTTGCCAAATAAGGTTGTACTATATATATTTTTAATTATGTTTTAAATGTAGCAATTGATCAATGCAAATGTGACATTTAACTTTTGTCAAGATATAACTTAGTGATAAATGTACGAGTTCCATTCAACTAAATAAATTAGAATTTCTTGTTGTGGAGGGGGAAACTTTAAATTAACACTTTATTTAGCAAAATGGGAACAGAATGTCATACATGAATTCCTTTTTTTAAAATTCTATAAAAAAATCTTTAAAACAAATTTTTAATGTTATTTTTGTAAAGATTAATAGGCAAATTGTTAATAAATCAAGAGCTTTTATACCAATAATAGAAGGCCACATCGTCTGTTTTGCTGGTAATATGAAATATTTCATGTGATTGATTACTATATCAACATTGTAAATATTTTTTGTTTAGATGACTATCACCACTTTGCCAAATTTGAGATATTTTTTTTTTATTTATTTTTTTTTAAAAATCTAAGTACTTTATAATAACTGTAATAGAATTAGTAATATTAAACATGGAAGGCTACATCTATCCTCCATTTAACTATTCCTTATAAATGTTGAAACTAATAAATCATCACAAGAAGCAAAGTATAGATTAAATGTTATCCAAACGAGTGTAACCAATCTGTTTAAAAAGATCCATTCAATATACTTTATAGTTTACTGCCACAAAATCACAAGACAAAAAAAAAAGAAAAGTCTTTACAAGTCATTAAGAATTAACATTGACAATCTTTACCTTTATTTCAGGTCTTCAAGAAAAGCTACTCTTATTTTGAAAAACAAGACTAATAGCTTTACTGCCATTCATTAACTAAATTAGTCCTGTTAGGAAAATATTAGGCTAATAATTTACAGATCTTCAGTTCAAGTCTGGCACTGATGTAGAGAGAATCTTTAAATCCAGTTTACTTAGTAGGTTCTTATTTTTTTATTTTTTGTGGTTTAATTCAGAGTTATACTAGTCTGACTGCTTTACCAAGGTCTGAGAACCTGGATTCTACTATTTCATCACCCATAGCTAGTGGATTCATGCCTATTCCAAAAAGGCATTAAACAAAAATTAAACAAAGTGCTTGCTGAAATTTGAACCTGGCCTGTCAATACCATTTTCCATTACAATAACCATTATGTCAACTGCAACTTCTTGAAAAATTTGGATAACCTAAGACAAGTTCTAAAAGGTGGAAGCTTGGATTTTAACTTGATAAATGCGTCAGTCTTGAAATTGGGGTGGGGAATGTAAGTTAATTTTCATGATTTTTTTTAAAAAAAGTAGTTCCTGAAAGAAAATGATTGGCTTTCAGAAATTTTATAGTTTGCCAGTTTTGTTGCTTAATTGATTTTCTTTAGTGGTATATTTAATACAATTTTTATGCCTTCAACTGATCAATCACTCACTCACATAATTTACTTTAGAATATTACACCAAAAACATGCAAAAAAAAAAAAAAAAAAAAAAAAAAAAAAAAAAAATCACTACACAATTGCTAATTAGTACACGAGAGACATCAAAACAACTACAATTGTGTAGCGATTTTTACATGTTTTCGGTGTAATATCCTAAAATAAATAATATTGCTCTACTCTGTATTGAGCGCTCTTAAGTTAAATGTTATGAACGTTGGAATTGTACTCTATTCGTTCTCATCATACCCAAAGATAGATATATATATATATATATATATATATATATATATATATACACACAGTTTGTAGATGATAAAATGTATTGTGGGTATTTTTACTAAAAAAAAAAAAATCTTTATTTTTGTTTGGGAGGGATTTCCATAGCTGGGACCCTAACAGGTACTACCACTCCAGGTAAGGGTTACTGGAAAACAACAACAGCAATTAAGAAGTGGTCCCACACTCCTCAAAACCCCCAATGTCCCAATCAGAGGCCTTGCTGCCAGATGCAGTTTATCATCAAACCCAGGATTAAAGGGGTTTTGTAGCAATTTTGAAAGCTAAATACAGTAGTGAAAACATTAATTATCATACATAAATGGCTTCTAAGAAGAGTGACAATTAGGAACAGATTTTATCTTGAACAGTTAAAGCAGTTATGGGAGAGTGGTTTTCCTAAGTGTGCACTTACCAACTCATCTGAGTTAAACATTTCAGCAGACAAGTATATTCTTTTTTTGTCCATATAGCTTGGACAAAAAGGGTCATGGCTGATGTGATCAAAGTAGTAATAAGGAGATTCAGTAGTATGATCACATAACTATCATAAATAAATATCACATAACTAAATATATGCTGCCAAGGGCAGAGAATGCATACATATATAAAATAAGAGCAGTCCTTGTTGTCCAGTGCTTTGCTATAAGATTCGCCATAACCCACACAGCTGGAAGTAGTCAATTTGGAAAGAGGGAATAATTTTGCTTTACAATTTTTTTTTTCTCCTCCTACCAGTGACAAGATTTTTGTCAAAATATCTGTTGATGGGACAGTGTAGGGTGAAGGAGCTCATGCCTTTCCCAAATTTTAGTGACATGGTTTTTTTTTTATATTTGTTCAGTTCTTTGCAATTCTTTAGCACTAATACACAAGGTTCAAAGAAAACGGTCTTTGCCAAAAACCCCAGGTTTCACTCAAAGTGATTTTTAACCATGGATCTTAGAAAGCAGTTATATACGGCTGATAGTTTAGATATTTCTGAATGGGTTGGGAGCCGTGCATGACATCCATATGAAAGTTGAGGCTATTTAAGAACATGACTCAATGTTTCATGCTAATGTTTTGGTTTTGTAACAACTTGCGATATTGGGCCAAACCACATGTTGCGCTGCCTATTCTATTTTCAATCTCCTTATTTGCTATAACTGGTCCATACACCAATGCATTTCAAGTGTTTGGTATTTACTAATTCTACATCCTGAATTAGTATTATGGATTCTGGGTAAGTGCCATCATTTCAATCCCAGATCATAGTTTCTATTTTGGAAAGGTTTATCTCAAGTCCTTTCTTCAAACACTTCATAGAGAATGATTATTTTTTTTTTTTTTATCAGTGCACTGGCCACGAGATGGAAGACAGGATAGTCTATTTAACAGCATGTCTCCTTATGGGCCATTTAATGCCGAAACTTAATTTTCTTGACAGCTTTGAAGTAATAAAAATGTTATTCCGCTTTCACAACTGAATACATGGTAGATGATACACAGTTTTTGCACATATACAAGTGTATGGAGATAATTACTAGAGAAGGTGATATGTGCAATTTGTTTTGCAAGTCGTATTTCGAAACAGTTTGATTTAAGAAATTTTCAGATATACGGATTAATGTCATGAAAGTTCATGTTGGTCTTGTTTAGCAGCATTTCACCCTCTAATGTCAAAATCTAAATATTTTGAACACAATTGTATGCTTTCAACTACAGATAAAATTTATTGCTGATTATGTCTTGTTGGTCTTTTTACTATTAAAATGTATTTTTATACTTTCATAGTGTTTTTGTTTGGTGGGGAGTGTCAAACTATTTGCCCATAGCTCAGGTGCTACCACCCCAGGTCAGGATGGACCTGGGAACAAATGCAATTAAAAAAGTGATTTCAGGATCCTCAAAACCTTCAATCTCCTGAAAAGTGGCCTTGCTGCTAGATGTAGTTTATCGTCATACCCAAGACTTGGAAAACAGGAATACTTTTCTATTTGTAGATTCATTTGGAAATGTGGTAGGGATTGTTTAAATGATCAGTGCCCATCTCTTCATGGCTGCGCTTGTATAAGAGCAGGACAAGTCTATGAAGAGATGAAATAGATTGGGATTAGTAAACAATTTGGAGATCTGAAGATTTAAACAAAACAAAAAAAAAAAAAAAAAACCTTTTGTTTCATAAATATACAGTGCTGTGTAAAAGTATATGAACCCCAAAGATAATATTTAAAAAAATAAATAAATAATAAGTATATAGTTCAAGATTTAATTAAGAAAAACCTTTATTAAATCAATTAAAACCACTTTCAAATATTTTTATCAAGATGGAATAAAAATATTAAAAATTAAGATGTTAAAAAGTAAATGAACCCTTACATTTACACTGTATTTTTGTTTTACATGGTTAACAGTGAAAATAATTTTTTATACTCATGTAAAATTCAAAATGACACGTGTTCATTTGTATATTGGTAAGGTGTGTATACTGCAGTCAAACAATACAACACATTGTGTATGCAAAAGTGTGCGGTTAGAGACTAAATTTAAAAAATATATATGCAAAGATCAAAAGAACTTCATGAAGATTTAAAAAATTTGAAATTGAAACTTATAATGATGAAGAATGCTAAAAAAAAAAAAAAAAAAAAAAAAAATCTATCAAAACAATTTGGAGTGCAATTCTTCACCATGCAGCAAATTATTTATAAATGGAAGGCCTTTGGTATGACGGCATCATGACCAAGAAGTGGACATCCACAAAAAAATAACAGAGTAAGTAGGTATCTAGTCCCAATTTAAAAACCCAATTGAAAATCTGATTCAAGTGAAAGTGCATGCAAGAAATCCCGATAATATCAAGAAATTGTAGGATTTTTGCCAATAGTCAAAAACCAGCACTCACTACTGCCAGAAATTTCTCAAAGAATATAGAAAAAAACAGCTAACATTGTAACCTCAAAAGGAGCAGTCAACAAATATTAAATGTAAGGGTTCACTTGCTTTTGCATATCTTAATTTTATTCCAGCTTGATAAAAATGTTTGAATGGTTGTAATTGACTTAATAAAAAGGTTTTTCTTAATGAATATATAGTTTAAGATGTGTTGATTATCTGGATAAAAGAAACAATTATTTTAAATTTTATCTTAGGGGATCACTTACTTTTGTACAGCATTGTATTTGTAAATAATCCCAATTGTCTGTCACAAAATATTAGGATATTTTTGTCCCAGTTGTACACTACTCAGAAAGAAAAAAATAAACACACACACACACACAAATAAGCAATTAAATTTTTTAAAAAGAAAATTTTTTTTTTAAAATTCCAAAATTGCCCAAAAGCCAGAAAGGGTTAAGTGGCATGAAAACTACTTACCAGTAACATTCAAATACAGTTTTTGTAAGGCTGGCCACATGGGAAGGATGTCCCTCAAGACGTAGCCGATATGTGGAGCTGGATCACCAATAATCCGAAGAGACTTCAAACCATGTGTCGCCTTTGAGATATATGCACCACTGTTACTTTTTGTAAGTCCCAAGCACAAGTCCCACAAGGAACTGTCCGACTTGCAGCTTTTGGGTGTTGAATTTGGTGAGTTTTGCTGACTCAGAGTTGGTGACTGCAACCGACAGCCCGAATCCGGAGAATCAGCCCCCCTCTGCAAGACATCAGGGTCATCGGTAACAGACCGGGATTTGGAAGAGAAGTTGTCATCCAAGTCTGCATAGATGTCAAAAGAAACGCGGCGTTTGTCATGATTCTTTGGTTTTGGCGTTGGGCTTGTATCAGCAGCCAACCCTCTTCGTGTCGCCGCTGCCTCCTTCCCCCCAGAATGCCGCCGTTTACGGTTACTCAAGCCATTTGGGTTTTTGAAATTTGACTCCAATTTAACCAGCTGTTGGTCTTCACCGTTTATGCTATCTAGCAACGACTGGAGATTACTTGCTTCCGTGTCCTTGCTATTCTGCGGACGTTCCCATTTGTTGGCTAATGGGACTGTAGATTCTTCATGTTTAAAGTTCTGTGTTGGTGGCATGGCAGGGTTGAGGTCAGATGTATTAGGAGAGTTGGGTGGGGTGGTGATGGAAGAAGAGGTAGTAGCCGTGGAGTCAAACAAAGAGAATGTCCTATTCTCCGGTTTGTTCTTCTCTGGTTTCATACAGCAGTTTGAGAGGTTCTCCTGTTCACAGAGAATGCCCTGCATGTTGCCCTCACTCCACTGGGTCACGCCATTACTCCCAGAATGTCCAGACGTGGTCCCAGCATTTGCGCTTGATGAAGAATGATTATGCAGCTTACCTAGTGGCCTGTAATACCTGTGCCGGTCTGATGGTTTCAGCTGTTTGACCTCGGCCAATTCGTCATACGAGTTCGACAAAAGGGCGGTCAAGACTGAAAAAGAAGTTTTGCGCTTCGTTTCATACTTCATGGAATGTAGCCGAGTTGTGGAGAGATATGGAAAGTTGTCTTCTTTCGTCCAGTATGGACAAAGCTTTGAAAATTTGCCTGTTTGTGTTGGACATTCATATAACCGGCAACAACAGCCACCATCCAGCTTAGCTTGAGACAGGCAGTTGACATTTTCAGACTGAGGACAATTCTTAGAATCGAACCAGTTGATAGAGCTCTTCCAGCACTTACGGGATTTTGGACTGGCCTCCAGGTTTGTGTGACAATGAGAATGTCTAAAAGATGAAGGAGAATGGCTGCTAAGGCGTTGATGCCTCAACATTGAATTTAGCAAGTTTGTCTCACTTGCAGACCCCGATTGAGATTTACTGAGATAAGAAGAGAGGTTCCGACAAAATTTCTTGCATCTTAGAGGAACCCCAGGTCTGTTGGCATCCAGTTCGTTTTCACTAAGAATTTGTCTGGTGTTTGAAAAATTCACTGCATGTTTTGGGCAAGGATATGCCTCGTAAGTGCTACCATTATTATCATAATGAACCACTTCGTCCTTATTAACATAGGATTCAGTTTCCTCATCCTTATCATCTGAATTCTCAAACAAGGAACTAGTACTTGGTCTTTTGAATGACCGGTAACAGCTTTGCCTAAAACTACTGCAAGAATCAGTACAAAAATACAAGTTCTCTGATTGATGGCCCCCGAGTTTTTTCTCTACTGACTGTCCCATCTGATCAAGGCTCACATCAAAAATGTCATCTGAACACCCAGATATATCACAGTCAAAGTTAAGGTCATTTGAACTGACCATATCAGAATGATCCAGACCAGCACAAATGGTCATTAGGCGCTCAAACAAGTCAACAAACCCATCACTGCACTTGGCAAATGTCAGCGAGAACTCCTGCAGCTTTCCATGGCGCAGGAATGTTTCTATGATGTTCCAGCAACAGTTGGATTCAGTCACAGTCGGATAACATTGGATACGCAAAAGCTCGACAGATTCAAGGAGCTCCATGACCAGTTCCCAGTGGTCCTCAAGGAAAAGAGAGAGTGAAGCATTGAGGGTGAGTGAAGTGACATGCTTGGCTAGGGCCAGCACTCGACTGCCCATTGTATCTTTTTTCATAGTGGCCTGCACCTTTTTTGGCAAATAGCAAGGAACTTTGGGATCATATTCATTCACAGAGCACCACATTAGGTCATGACTCAAAACTGGAAAGAGAAAAAAAAAAGAAATTAAACTTTAATAAATAATACTTGGTTGAATTGAATGAACGAAAAAAAAAAAAGTTACCATCTTTATTTTAGAAGTGTATTATGTCTATTGGCCTGCACATTCAAGAAATCTTAAAAATATTTGCTCTCTGGCAGGGATCAACTGTAAGTTCCTCTTGTTAAAAGAAACCAGTTAAGATTCCTTGAATATGCCGGCCAATAGACATTAAATTAAAAATAAAATTGGGTCATCTGTTCCAAGTATGAATATCCACTAATAGTAATAAAAATGTCAGATTAATAATAAATCCATTAATTCTTTAGAAATTGCTTTGTTTACATTTAGGTATCTGTAGCCAAGTGGTAAAGTACACCAGATCAAACAACGGTTTCTCCTACAAAAGGACTTAGGTTTGATTCCTGCTGGAGAGCACATTTCTTGAATGTACCAACTGACAAATGTAATACACACCATTTTAAATAAAAATGGGACATCTATTTCAAATATGAGTATCAACTATAATATCTAGTATGTATGTACAAACAAACATATATATATATATATATATATATATATATATATATATATGTATGTGTGTCATCCACAGAGACTTTTGCAGATCATCAGCATGGCTAGACATCAGATTTCCTCAAGCCACACACGTATACTTTTTAAATAAACAATAAGCTATATTGTGTGCCTGACAAGTTGAGTAAACAACAAAATTTAAGTCACACACCAAACATAGGTATATGTGTATTTATCAATATATATTTCTTAGCTCTGCCTAATCACATTGAGCACTATTATGGCTACACTTCTTGGCTAAATTTGGTAATTATTTGCTTACCAATGTATGCATGCATGTCGGCACACATATATAGTCACTAATATCTAGTTATTTCATTCACCTACACACACACATATATATATATATATATATATATATATATGCGTGCACGCACACAGATAAGTTATCTAAATTACGCAAAAATGAAAATAACACTGACATCTCATTTTAAGATATATTTACCAAAATTACAGAAAAACATTTCTAAATGATAAAGAGTAAATTTATTTAAAAAAAAAAAAAAAACGCCATTGGGCCTCAAGTACAGCCTCCAGACAACTTCAGAATCTCCTGCAATTCTTTTGGATGGTTTCCTTGTTTAAGTTGGTGAATGTCACCATAATCCTTGCTTTTAGTTCATCTTTAGTGCTACAAGGAGGTTTGTTGGTCTCAACTGCGTCCCACATGTAATAATGAAGGGGGGTTGCAGTCTGGGGGGTTAGGTAGCCAGATGTAAGGAGTGATGTAGTCACAGAAATTGTTCGACACCCCTGACTGGGTTCTTCTGCTTGTTTGGCATGGTGGAGAGTCCTGTTTCCAGACATACGGTCTTCCAGCAGTCAGGGTCCCCTCAAGGTACTTTATGTAGGCCTCATGGTGCTCTTTTTTTTTCTATCAGACAATGCCCAACTGACCCTACTCTTGTGAGCGAGTGTTAGTCTATAAGGCAAAAATGAGCTTTAGCTCAAATAAACACAGCTTAGTAAAAGAATTACACATCAAAAGAGGTTATTTTTACACCAAGAAGTACATTATGATATCACCAAAATATAATTAAATAAAAAAAAAGCTTTTTATTGTTCAACCCAATCAATCAACCATCTCATCTTGTCTGGTGGTGACCAGGAAACATTACAAAAAAAAAAAAAAAAAATTTCTCCTTAAAATAGGTTCCTCCACTAATTCACCGTAGAAAAAAAATGCCCCAAACTTGATAAAGAATGTTTTGTCAAAGTCTTTAAGAGGAAAGACTAAAGGATTTATTATTTAATTAAAATTTCTTTCTAATCCTTTCTAGCACATTTTTCTCACAGCAGCAGGGGAGGGTGGGGGGTTTCTTTCAAAGATTGGAATAGGAAATTTTAGCATATTTTTATGCAGTGGAAAACATTGATTTGGAAATTCTTTCAAAAATCAAATAATTGTTGGATTTTACTTAAAATTTCAGGACTTATTCACAAATGAATGAAATTTTACACAATTTTTTTTTTTTTTTTTGACAACCACTTAATTTTAGGAACTTAAGAAATTAAATTTCCACCCACTTAATATTTCTATTAGTTAAAAGCACAACTCATTGGAGAATTTATATCATTAATTTTCTTTATAAACCTGAAACACCATTTACCAAAAACCTGTTCAGAATCAAACTGAAAAATACAATAAAACTAAGACATTAATTAGAAAAGCTTTTGATTGCTCTTATAAAGATATATTAAATACACTATAGTCTTAAAAAAAAAAAAAAAAAAAAAAATTTTAATGAATGAATTTTTACAAGAATTTATTTTTTTTTAATTAGAATAATTCAAGTTTTAAATTTTAAAATTCTGTATTAATTTGACCCTTTTAAATGATATTAAATAACTATATTTACTAATCATAAATGGAAAAGCTTAGTACAAATCATCAAACACCAATTTTTTTTTTTTTTTTTTTTTTTTTTAAGAATTTTGATTTTTTTTTTATGTGCATAAACTTATTGATTTTTGTAGAAACAGTGGCCTATACACGACACCAGAAAATAGGAGTGTAAAGTATAGTAAATTTAAAGCCAAAGTATCTACAATTCAATAAACCATTATGGAGAATATTTTCCTAAATCTTTAAGATTTAGGACTTAAAAATTATTTAAAAAAGGCACTCATGTCATTTTCTTCAATTATGTTTTACAGATAAAGACACTGTAGAATGACATACATGTCATCAATGCTAAACACACCTTAAATAAACAGCTACTCTCAGGTAAAAAAAGAAAAAAAACTGCATTTCTGTGATATTTTAAACTTTAAATAATATTTGTTTCAAATTATATTTTAAATCAGATAATATTCCTCAAAGTTTTAGAAAAGTTTTATTTTGGGAAGAATTTTTTTAATAAAGACAATTACATTCTGATGTCAGGTGGCTAAAAATGGTGCTAAAAATCAACAATTTCAAAATGAACTCCTTCCAATCAATGTGAATTACTTTTGAAATATAGCAAAAGTATATTGTAAATATTAAATTTAAACTTACTTGAAATTAAGACAAACAAAATCTTCAAAATTTTTCATTTTTAAAACTTAATTTTAAACCTAGGTATCAAATCTGTAGAGGTACCTGCCTTAGGATTTCATAAAACAGTTTGACACACAATGGCACATTATCTGAACACTCCCGCCCCCACCCCAAAAAAAAAAAAAAAAAAAAAAAAAAAAAAAAAAAACAGAAAAGAAAAATAAATAAAAACTTAGATCACGTTTTTATAGTGTACTGACTTCTTTCAGGATGGTTGGCTTTCAGCTGACCAAACGGGTACATGCGGTAATATTCTTCAAGTAACTTCATGAAGTGCCTATCAATATAAAGCTGTCTGTGGGTGAGGTTGTGACGGTCAAGAAGATCCAATGCACTGCGTCCATACTTCCAGGGCCAGCGACGATTGTAATGGTTACGCCAGCACTCAGCCACATTTACACCTGATAAACAAAAAGCAAGTAAATAATCTCAAATGCCATTTACAAAGTATAAAGGAATACAACTCAAGAATTTATTGGGGAGGAAAAAAATGCAATTTAAGTTTTCAAGAATTGTTATTTTCATTTCATTGAAAACTGGAGATCATCCTCTTGATAACCTGGCTGATATGAAAATTTGAGTTTTACCTACATCCCACATGAATAGTAACAGACAACAAAGCTCATCACAAATTTGAAGGTGTATTAGAATTGCTACTTTTTAGAAACTAAGGTAGTAAGAGATTAATAAAAAAAACAAAAAAAAAAAACCTGACAGGTATCCATTATTTTTCCTATGGGTTGAAACCTGCAAACCATTTTTTTTTTTTTTACAATACACTAAATATTAATAAAATTAGAAGAGTTGCATTCCCTTTAACACAAATATGTAAAAGTGAATAAATTCAACAAGCTTCAATCAATGAGCTAAACATTTAATTTGAGGCAATTATATTCTTGTTAAGATATTTTCAAAATACGATTATTTAAGATTTATACCCGTGTTTACATTTTACTCCTTTAAAATATTCTTCAAATGAAAATTAATAAGTTTTAAAAATTTGAAAACTGCATAAGTAAATTCCATTTTATAAAACGATTTTGCATTTTTGGGTAGCATGTTTGTTTTGACAATATTGTTTTTATCAGCAAAAAAAAAAAAAAAAAAAAAAAAAAATTAGAATTAACAATTTAGACACATTAAAAGTTGAATTCATAAAAGTGTCAAATCAGGTTGTTTGTATTTTTTTTTGGTTTTGTTTTTTTAAAGCATAGGAGACACATAAGGTAAAGAATGACATTTTCTGTTAGAAAACAAGGAAACAAAACTTGCAAAATTACTGTGACTTTCAAGACTACATACATTGGTCAATCAACTTGAGAAATAACGAAAGTCAAATACTATCAAAATTATTCATTATTTTTCAATTGAAGCCACAACAGGATCTCCAAAAAGATCCACAACTTTTAATCACCAAATCTTCAATTCTCTCTTGACTGCCATCAAGAAAGGAGGCAAGCTGTGATGTCTGATGTTGTTGGTGTACAATACTGGGTCTGCATACAGTTGGCCACTCTGCAGTTGGCAAAATATGCTATCTCAACACCATAGAGTCAGCAGTACCACCCACATTTTCAAGAAAGGTTATAGAAGAAAAGGGAGAATTTTTCCTATTAAAAACCATGACACAAGTTGGATGTTTGGTCCTGAAAGTGACAAAGTTCTTGGCTCCAAATTGTATCCACTATTTCTGTAGTTTCAAACAGTATCCAACATGAAGATTCTGAAATATTTTAACAGTTGACCCATGATTCTTGGAGATACCTGAACCCATTTGTTGGTTCCAATTCAATTGGGAATGGCTAGAAATACTTTCCCTTCAATTTATAGGTAAAAACCATAAATGCATGCTGGTATTTCTTTGTAGGCAATAGGTCCGTCTTGCCATTTATCCAAATTCATACTTGTGTATCAACATGAATTCTTTGTAAACTTTTTGTCTTATTACTGTTGCTTTGTCTTGTATATATTGTTTGTTTGCTCAGCTATTCATTTTTGCCCTTTACTTTTTTTCATTGTTTATTACAAACTTTGTCAATTTTGTTTGTTGATCAATTCTGTCATTTACATTTAACCATAGCCACTCACTCTACACCATTCTTGTACCTTTCCCCGACTCCATGGCTAGTTGCCTTGGCATTCTGAAGTACGATGTTCTAGCTGACACACCTAAAAGGCATTATAAACAGTCTTAGAGTAAACTTTTAGCTCATTAGTTATCTCAAACATTGGTCTTAATCATATTAATGAAGTACCAAATCCGCTTCTTGTTGACCCTCATCAATATCCAACTTTCTCTGGAACATCTTGTCAAGGATAATTTTATTGAGGAGTGGGGATGCATTTAATGTCAGTTTGACACTCTTTGCCATTTGTTTTTCTGTAAAGCGATATTCAATGATATCCTTAAGAAAAAAAAAAAAACAAAAAAAAACACCTTAACTGATAGGAAGTCTTTTGTTCAGCATTGGATATAGTGGATGAGGAATGATTCTTCCTTATCATATAAAGCACGTCAATTTTAAAAATGAAAGTCTGCAAAAAAAAAAAAAAAAAAGCACAAACAATTCCTTCACCTGAATGTTAGATGCTTTATAAAACAGTACCTTTGCGTGTAAGAAATTCTCCTCCAAGCTTAAGTAGCGTCCAGGGACACATATACTCGGAGATGACTTTCCATAATGGAGGAGGAATATCTGAAAAAAAAAAATTTTTTAAAATTCTAAATAAGAAAATTCTTCAGGTTTAGGATTTTGATTAATAAATGTTTAAAAAACTAAAAGACAAAAATGTTGTACAAAAACAAAGCATCCCATGGCAGGGAGAGTGAGCAGCCCCCACAAATAGAATTAGACAAGAAGAGATTTGCAATTAAAGAATCCTAACAAGGAGAAAAAAAAAAAAAAAGGGAGAAGACTGCTGTCAGCAGTTTTAAAGACACATATGCACATCCTCCACTACCCTCATTACTCTGATAAGGCTGGGGAGGGGCAGAATTTGGAGGCATTCCCACAATCCCAGAATATTCTAAGTTCTGATAGGCGACCATGCCAATTTGCAGTTAATATCTAATGTAACACAGATGGAAGCAAACTAACAGGCTAAAGTAATGGTGATTTTCTAAGCATCACTTTGATGTGGCACAAATCCAGAAATATGGAGCCCCCAGTGAGGGTCAAACTCACTGCTCAGTCATAACTGTTCTAACAAGGCAAACTTGCTAAACATTGCACCACATTGATGTGTCCATGATTTTATAAGCAGAGCTTAGATGCGGCACAAGGTTGGAAATATGAGGCACCTAGTGAGGATCAACAGGCTAAAATAATGAATGTAAACTAAAATTCTACAAACTATCCCCCCACACACACACACACATAAGAGGTGGTGGATGTGGTCTACAAAGATGAGGAGGAAAAGAAGGGGTTGGTCATGTTGAAGGAGAAATTACAAGAAATTTACCTTCTTCCAAGATCTTCTTGGGGAAGTTTACCACTTCCTTCCCCAAAACAATGGCACACTTTACATGAAGAGTCTGTGGGTTGTTGTTTGGACGTTCCTCTTTCAGCAAGAGGCCACTGAAAAAAATAAAATAAAATAAATATTCAAGTTTTAATTGAACTTGGGGGAAAGGTTATTCAGTATAGTTCAGTCAATGACTACCTCATCAGTGTCATTGTAAATGACAAGAGCCTAATTTTCAAATACATATTGACTGCACTAATTGTTGTAGAGAGAGAATCTCCTGTCAAATGAGGATGACATTCCTGACTAATAATGTCAAGAGAGGGAGAAGACACCACTGAAATTGCAGTTGAAAACTAATCATATTCTATAAGAACTAGTCCAAAGACCAGAATGATGTAATTAGAATGAAATCAAAATTGAGACAATACAGATTCTAAGCCTGATAGGTCTTCCTATGTCAATCCAAGGAATCAGAATAGAAAATTGGAACAAAAAGGTGAAGTATCTTTTGTCCATTCTAGCCAAATATTTAAAATTAGAAGAAAAACATAAAACCTCTTTACAAACTGAGAAACATAGAAAACCAAATAGTTTTGTGAAATTTGAGTACAAGACATGTTTAAATAAATAAAAAAAAAAGAAAAGAAAAAAGTCCTATATCTTTCAAATTTAGAAACTGTAGGAAAAAAATAAATATCAGAAGTAGAGACAATTGGTTCCACAAGAAATGAATTTTTTTTTCTCTTTTCAACAATCCTTTCTCTTTTTACTCTACACAAAAGTTTCTGAACAAGACTGTAGTTGATAGTCATACCCAGAACAGGTCAAGTTCTGTAGATCCTTCTTCCTGCTCATTTATGCAGCTTACCTTTTATTCAGGTTTTTGACCATGCATTCAAATTAACAATAGTTTTAAGAGAACTAAAACCATGCAAGTGTTTTACGTAAATTGTAAATGGCAGCCCTGACCAGGCAGACAAGACATTGTGGGCCCCCTCTTAGCCAAAAGTAGGTTGGAATTCCTTGATCCTATTTCACCAGATAATGAAAAATGGATCCATTAATTCCTAATCAAAGGAATTCATAACCAGATCAAACATATCAACCTCAACAGAATCTATTGCAATCAGCTTTTGTGGTTCTGTTTGATGAGATTCAAAGAAAATTAACTTGATTGAAGTTTTGCAAAGAAACTAAAGTTAACAGAATTTACAGCACCTGTCCACAAGTTACAAGTGTGGCACAAAATAATTATGAAGTGGGAATGAGCAATTCTTCTGCATATGATTTCCCATCTTCTGACCTTCAGATTATCGTTTGGTCCATTTCAGTTTTAAGTCAGTTAAACTTGAAAATAATTCAGCAGTGACTAAAATTGTGTATTTCATAAAAAAATTTTTAAAATATTCACAAAAAGTTGATATAGTAGAAAAATTGGAAGAAATATTTCTTGAATAATTGATGCTATGAATTTTATCTGTTCTTCAAAAACAAAAGAATTAAACTTACAAACTTGATGCAAAAAGTTAATCATTTTAATAAAGAAAGTAAAATAACAACACAGTCCAACCAAATCTTATATACAGGGTGATTGAAAAGTTACTCCCTATTTTACATATGATAGATACTCTTGTCTAACTAATTTTTACAAAACTGGAGAGTCCATAATAGATAAAATCTGGAGTTACTTTTCAATCACTTTGTAGAGGACAGATGGAAAGTAGAGGATTGTCTCAATATTGATTAAAATAAAACTGTTCATCTTTAATCTTCTCTTAAATGCAGATGATGAAAAATTATGTACTTGAAATTTTATGGTCCAACTGAAATTTCTATTGTATTTTAAGGTTTAAATACAAATTAAATGAGAAAGAGTTTGGGGAAAAAAAAAAAAAAAAAAAAAATTTTAATAAAAATAAAAGAAAAAAAATATAAAGACAACTTTCAAGCTTTACCCAGAATGCATGCAGCCATTTTGAATGTTATGAGAACCAGTTGTGCAACCTTGATTCAGGGTTTTTAATATTAGTCACAGACTGTCTGCAGCATTAATCGCATTGATCAAATGTTATCCAGAACAAAACTTAATAACTACATTTTAAGCTACAAATTTACTGACTGACTTGTGTCCAGAGAAATATGTATATGACTAAGCAATCTATTTGGAAAGTATGTAGCCATTTGGAATATCTCAAAAAAACATTTGTACAGGAATAATGTCACTTGACAGTAAATCAAAAGAGGACATTACCAACATTCTCCCATGGGTCTAGTTAGTCAGTAGAGAGGAGGAGGAGACAAGTCCCCAGTAACAAACACATTGACAATGACTAATCAAGTAGATTTTTCATTATTTTCACTATTTACATTGTTCAGGTGGTTGTTCTCATCTTCATTACCATATTCACAATGTTTCAGCTGTTGTATGCTCCAGCCTTCTTTAGGTGATTGGAATTTTGAACTGAACCCTTTATTTGGCGCACTGGGAGTAGATTGTTCTAGTTCCACGTGCCATGCCACTTCTGGATGTCTCAGTATCAGTTATCTCCCTTTAACTCTCCAAGTTTTTTTTTGTTTGTTTGACTCAGCTGTAGCCAGATACTGAACTCTCAACTCTGAGTCAAGTCACTGGATTCAACCAACACTCATCCACTGGGTCATGTACCCAATCACCTGAAGAAGGGTGGAGTGTACAACAGCCAAAATGTTGTAAATATTGCAATGAAGATGAGGACAACAGTCCAAATAATGTAAATAATTACAATAACTCATCTCAGAAATATATTTTTTGTATAAGGTTTTGCAACAAAAATATAGTTCAGATTTAGTTTCCATCTAACTTTGCTATCAAGACACTAGGACATAAGGAACTTACTGAAGCAGTTGATGGTGATTCTGAAAGACGATTTGGCAAAGTTTTTGAAAAGTGAAATGAACATGGGAGGCATGAAGTCTCAAAGACACTAAATTCTTATTGCCCTTGGTAAGCTAATTTTTGTTAATATTAAAATAGCTGGATACTTTCTGAACAGACTTTGTACATCACTACAAGCCGTCTGTGTACAAGTGTCTCACGAGTGACTAAAAGGAGCAGATTTAATAACCAACACTTATCCACTAGGCCACCTGAAGAAGGTGGGAGCATACAACAGCAAAAATGTGAATATGGCAACAAAGATGAGGACAACAGTCCGATAATGTAAATAATTACAATACTTCATCTCAGAAATAGAGAGATTCCGAAGGTCAAAGCATACAATGGCTAAAACATTGTGAATATAACAAAGATCAGGACAACAGACTAAATAATATAGTGTGAATAGTTACAACATATCATCTGAAAAATATATAAAGATACCTTATTTCTATTCACAAAAAATTTTGCTCTAATATTCAGTAGTTTGTTGATATCAAAATGAAGACAAAGAATTTTATTTTGGCATAAATAATTTATACCGTAGAGGACTGGGTGTGTTGTATTTGAAACACGTGTGTAACTCCTGGTAGAATATTAAAAGGTCCAACAACTACAAGAAAATTGCCGGATTAAAGTTAAGTCCAACTGAAGATAAAGACAAACAAACAAGACCGATATATAAACAAATACATGTATTAAACAAAACAATTTTACAATGGAACATAGATAATATTTGTGTGTGTGTGTGTGTGTGTGTGGACATTTGTCTTTTGGTGAATGTTCGTACATATGTGTATAATGTTCATGGCGTCTTCCCACAAGTGGGAAACGCTATTTCCTAAGAGCATATATTGTAGTTGCTGAAATGAAGAAAAAAAAGAGGATTTACCTCACCTCCACGCGAGGTGGGATGCGGCACAAGGCCTGAAGGAAAGAGAACAAGATGAGAAGTCACCCAATATTTATAGTAGGGGTGGGAGAGACCCCTAGTGACAATTTGGGAATTAAGGAGGAGCTAACTCTGACAATACTGACAGGGAATTCTTTTTCAACTAGTCTATAAAAAATTTGAGCAGAGAAAGAAACACATACACATTAATATCAAAAATGACTTTAAATTATCCTGCAAAATTTGTTCAATTTCATCGCATAGCTTTATATTATGACAATATGTCCCAACATGCAAACTGTCTAATATTAAATCAGTCAACCATCCCCACCTACATCGATCAAAGTCACCCAGTAACAGACGTGACACTGATATAAAAGTTTATAAACAAAAAAAAAAAAAAACCTCTTTATCTATGATAAACGATTAGCCAGAGACGAAAAGTAAAAATAAAACTGAAGGTCAGTCTTTGATAAAGCAAAACACCACCGCCTACCTGTCCACTTCATGTCCAAGAAGTTCAGCCAGTAGCCGAGTAGCAAATGCATTGTGTATAGGAGCCATCCAGGGCAGCAAATCTGAAAGAAGAAATCATATGAGATTAGAAAAAAGAAAGAAAATAATCAGAACAGAAACAAAATTTAAGAAAAATAAATGGAAAAAATAAAATTTTATATCTAATGTTACACCAAGTTTGCTTTAGTTCCTTCCACTTGCATTACATTTTTTAATGATCTTTGATAAAGATTTTATGTTAGACAACCAGATCATAATTTCACTTGATGGAATTAATCTCATTAAAAGAACAATGTGCTTGAAGAAAGGAGAGACAGAAACAGAAGAAAAAAAAAAATCTATATTTTTTAAAACCTGTTCTTTGTTATTATCCAGAAGAGGAAAATAAATTACTGTTACTTTTTAGATCTTGTTTGTAAGCTGATGTCAAAGGTTACAACTGCTGATTAATACCACATTCAATGAGTTCTCTATAATCGCGACCTTGTGCCAAACAAAAGCAGCTGCGTTTTCCATGTTATCCCTATTGTATATGTGACATCTTTGCCAGTATTATATTGGAAAATAGGAGTTATTTCCCCTAGAATCATGGAAATTTCAGATAAAAAGGCTCTTAAAGAGAGAAAAAAAAAAAATACTGTCTTTCGAGCCAAAAGGTTACCTTTTTGTTTACTTACAAAAATTTTGCAAGTCAAAACCAATATATCCTTGCAAAAGTGTGTGTGTGTGTGTGTGTGTGTGTGTGTGTGAAACTCCAGTATATATATATATATATATATATACACACACACACACACACAAACAGAATGAAATTTATCACAACATTGAAGAGGAATTTAAAAACAAAATCCTAATGTCCTCAGTTTGTTATTTGTTTTAAAATTTCTACAAAGAAAAGAAAAAAGAAAAAACAAGCAATTGCCATATTTGCCAACCTACGTGACAAATTGTTTACAAGGACATTGCTGGGAGAGAGAACTGCTCATTGCAACTCTTACAAACCCAAGATCTGCCCATCTGAAGCTTTGAGACAGCCTACCAATAATACCGGCATTGGAAGAGTTACATTTAACACCAACCACCCCACTTAAGTGACCTTTATAGAAATTGTTAAAGTTATAAAAAAATTAAAACTTATTCACACTTAATACTTGCTATGGCTTAAGATAAATATAAATACTTTCAAAATCTGGATGAAATATTAGAATTGGGCGTAAATAATGAATTAAGAGTTGAAAGCATTTAGAAAAAAGAATTTCACTCAAGCAGAGAAGCTGTTAAAAATACTTCTTGAGCCTAGGTTTTAAGATGACAGCCATATAATTAATTGTTCAGGAATTAACCAGTATTCGTTTTGTAGAGTATTTTCTTGCATTTTTTTTTTAAAGTTGTGTTTTGATACAACTCCAGTAATAACCTACAGTAGTGAGTCAATTGGACAGGTTAGAAATTAAAGAATCTCTTTATGAGATTCTAATCATTCCTTTTTACCTCATGAACATTTGCCTTAGTCTGTAAGAATTAGATATGTTCTGAAAAAAAAGGAAAAATAATGCAATATGAAGCCTAGAAAGTGATGTACACACAGTGAAATAGCAAAAAATAAAATGTAGAGTCGGACATAAGTTTGACTAATTCATTCATCGATTCATTTCAAATATATGCAACATTACTTCCTACAAAGACTGGTATAAAAAATTAAAAAAAATTAAAAAAAAAAAATTCAAAATTAAAGCATCTCAATTTGAAGAAAAATTTCTGCCAGAAAAATTCAGGGGCAACAACTCTGCTCAAGCATTGAATTAAAAAAGTTCGAGTGTTAAATGATTCACAATGAATATGAAAAAGAATGTTTATTTTAAGACTGTTCAGATCCAAAAAGGTTGACATTTCTTCACCTATATCTATTAAAGCAGAGATTTAAATAGTTGGAGAAGGCCTGTTTAAAAACAACCTTGGTTTTAAGTGTTTCTTTACATAGAAATCCAGTAATTCTGGTAGAACCTTAGTGATGATTTTAAATCTTTTCTAAACATACATTGAAAAATGGAAATATTTTTTTTTATATATCATTCATATCAGCTGAGATGAAGATGACAGTTTGAGAAGAATAACTGAAAGCTAAGTTGGGTGGCAGATTGATTTTGCTTAGCAGATCAACCTGTATGGGTTATTTAATGCCAAAATCTAAATTCAAACTTTAGAATTAATTAAAAAAGAATTACATTATTTCATAAAATTATTTCACAGCATTTGTTTTTTTTATCCAAATAATCTTATAAAAATCAAGCTGTGAAAACTTCTTACAAGTAAAGAGATTAATCAGAGAAAAAATTTTTTTGACAATGTATGCCAATCTTCAATTTTACTATAAAATATATTGCTGTCACACACACATTATATATATATATATATATATACACACAGTGAGACTCTCCAGTCATTTATCAATGTACGAGGGTCAAACAACTTGGTTCCTAGGAACCAACAGCTAGACACCAGCACATGATTTGATTATAGTGGTGAAGGCTTTGTACAGAACCAACCACACTTTTTGAAGGGCCGAAGCGACCCTCCGCAGGTTTTGAATTCAGAGTTGTCCTTCTCCTAGAACAGTTGGCATCCAAGGCTATAGAACCCAATCTGACATGCTATTTACCCATAGCTGGGGAGAGAAGAGAATTCATACCTTTCCCTTAGAGTATTAGCATGTAAGTAAATATAATGGATTTGACTGGAATTTGAACTTGGCTCTGTTTCCTCAATCCAAGCCACTATCTATTCCAGTATCCCAGTCAACTGTTATTGGGGTTTGGCAAATAAATTTCTTCTAACCAAGAATTTTTTTATTCAGAAAAAAAAAAAAAAAAGAAAAAAAATAGGGGAGTTATTTTTCTTCCCCCCTTAAATAAATTAAAGTTTTTATCTAGTGAATACACCTAAAATTAAATATTAAAAATAAAATCTTTTAATTTCATTATTAGTATGTATATATTTCCAAATCTGCGACTATCACCTGTTCTTTTTCTTAGACCACATTTTAAAAATGAAATTAAAATCTATTTTTAAATCATTTTAATATAACAAGTGTATTTTCCAGATAAAGCCAGAAAGATACTTGTAAAAAATAAAATTAATTTTCCTTGTTTAGAAGGAATTTTATAGGCAGAACAGTAACACCCACTGAACACTAGTGGCTAAAAAAAAAAAAAAAAAAAAAAAAAAAAGGGATAATTTTTACTTTTTGTTAACTTAAATTTTACCACTAAAAGTTTTTTTTTTTTGAAAAGAAACAAATAGATTTCAAGTATCATGTCCTATGTTCCTTTTTGAAAAATGATTTCCTAGTGTCATATTTCCTTATTCCATTTGTAAACAAATAAATTTTAAATTTATTTCCAAAAACTAGTCAAGTGTTTTTAACATTTTTCTTCAATCCTTTTCTCTTACAATGGAATATATATATATATATATATATAAAGCATTAGTAATTACACTACAAAAATATATTGTTGGTAATTTTTTTTTTTTTTTTTATTTATTTCCTAAAAAATGTATTGCTGGTATTTTTATATTTTCCTAGTGTTTTGATTTTAGTTTGGAGGTTCACTATTTGTCTATAGTTGGGACCCTAACAGGTGCTACCACCCCAGGTCATGGTGGACCTGGAAACAATAGCAATTAAGAGGTGGTTCCACACTCCTCAAAACTTCCAATCTCCCAATAAGAGGTCTTGCTGCTGGATGTAGTTTATCATCATACTCAGGAGGATGAAAAAAGATTTTCTACAATTAGTTTTAGTACAAGAACACAAATATGGAGGACACAATGATTTGAGACCTGCTTCTTGACCATTATATCCAATGGTGTTTGCTGAAGAGTAACAATATCTCCACTCCAATAAAACAAGATTTATAACAAATAGCATGAGGAAATGGGTTTTATTTTTCTGCATGGCCACCATTCAGTGATACCTTTTTTTTTTTTTTTGTTTGTGGGAGGCGGCAGGTGCAAATTTTTTTATCCCATTACATTCCATCCATGAAGAAGATTTCTAATTTACTTTTGATCTGACATCCTAACCTTTGAACCCCACTTTTAACTTCAAGAAAAAAAGTCAAAGTTTAATGCGGTCAAAACAGGGTTTTTACAAAAAGGCACTTAATTTGGTCAGGTTTCTTACTATTTGCTCCATTTGTTGATCAGAAATTTGATGGACAACACCACCCCAAAAAACACACAATTTCCCCAGAGGCAGGATTGGTTTGGTTTGTGGCATATCAGCCTCAATGGGTCATTTTATGCCAACAATTTTTGTTTTGTCAAAAATCTATTTCTGTTATTTTTTATTTTTTTCCTCAAAAACGCATAGCTGGTAACGTTATTTTCTTCAAAAATTTATTTCTGGTAACAATTTTTTTTTAAAAAGCACTTCCATTACCAAAACCCATTTTTACACTTTTATAAAGTCTTTTACCTCAGTTTTTGGTTTAACTATTTGCCCACAGCTGGGACCCTAACAGGTGCTACCACCCCGGCAATTAAAAGGAGACTCCACGCTTCTCAAAGCCTCCTAATCGGAGGCTCTGCTATTGGACATAGTTTATCATCTTACCCTGGACGCCGATGTAGTTTATCGTCATACCCAGGATGCAGGCAGGATTGGATCAGACATGTTATCACTTGTCAATAAACATAAGTAAAAGCTGCCTTCCTACAAAACTTAACATACTTCATTATCTAAAAAACACCATCGCCTGCAAGATTAGAAATTTCATTTTATGTAGAATTTTTTTAAAATGAAAAATCTCATGTCTCACTATTCAGACCCCCAACTCATTTTGATCGAGATACTTGTTTTGACCATTGTGCTCTCAAGTCTTCTTAGGCTGTGGCAAAAATACTTGGTAACCTCATCAAAATTTCAAAGCAAACCTTTTATTCAATCTACAGAGAGTGGTGAGGGGGTTAGGAGATATTTCACTATACCAGTCTTATTCACTTTTGAATATCAAAGCATCTTCACTCTTCTAAATGATTAGACACACAACACCATAGTAAA